CCCCCCCCCCCACACCCACACACACACACACACGTACGTTTGTGCAATTATTCGTGGGCAAAGCTGTTTAGCTGTTTCCAATCGGGCACAAACACCACCAATGGATTCAGGGCACATGTACGGCTTACCGTATGGGTCTATGCACCTGTGAAGCATACAAAGTTGATGTCAAAGTCCTATGTAGGAAGCCTGTCAATTCCAAAGTCTCTAACCTTATAGACTGTCCCGTGAACCCCTAATTAATTAACCCATGACCCTATAAGCCCTTGTAAATCCTAAGCCTCTCAACCTCTAAACCCTGAAACCCTCAACCCCGAAAATCGGAATACCTAAACCCGTGAAAAGAACGGACTCCAAGAACCATGAGTGCCTATAACCTAAACCCCAAAACCCTAAAACCACAACCCTTACATATATATATATAGTTGCTTTTTTATTTAGATTTATTCATGTATGTGATTGTTTATTTATGTTTACGAGTACTATTGCTCCTCTTGATTATAATCATTAGTATTTGTACTATAAGCGTTAATATTATGTTAGTAATAAGAATAAGTATATTTATTTCTTTTTGAATGTTAATTATGATTAACAAGCAGTGAGTCCCAAACCCAGGGGGAAGACTTCAACCGGGACTTGCTTCACCAACGCGCCCGCTGCTTAATTTGTAGGCTTTTGGGTGCTGGGGTTCAGGATTTTGAGTTTAGGGTTTAGGGGTTTAGGGTTTAGGGTTCAGGATTTTGAGTTTAGGATGGGGTTTCGAGTTTGGGGTGTGGGTCATTTTTCGGTTTTAGTGTGCTCAGGGTTTGGGTCATTTAGCCATTCAGCAGGACAACAGAGTGGCACTTCCTTCAGGCTGAGTGGTTCTGAAGTGTACAGGCCTGACACAAGATTTAGTTCGTTGCTTCATTTCCTCGTCTCGAGCTGTACCCATAGGCTCCTAATTAGTTCCTTTTTATGGTTCATATTTCGGATCCTATAAGGGAACCACAAAAAGGGAACTACTAAGGAGCCTATGGGTAGAGCTTTCGTTGAGGAGTCTTGTCTGGGAGTCCCGCCCGATCCACCCTCCATAGCCACGGCAAGGAAACTGCCCTGAACCTGAAACACAAAGCCTCCCGTACCCTCAACCCTACCTGGACCCTAGAATACAGTGTTCCTTGCTATGCCTTCCATAGCCCTCTTCACGCGCATTTCGGAGCATGTTTTAGGACTCCCTGATCTTTGTCAGCGTAGTAATACTTGAGTCGTGGTGGAGGGGGTGGGGGCTTGAACACCGTCCTGTCCGCTGAGGCCACGAACCTTGAAAACACCGTGCTTCCAGGGGCACAGTTCTTCGTCAACGACCAGGGTGACATTGTCTTCAGCGAGGCCTCAACGGATTTGGCTGGTCAGCAGGTCCATATATGGTATCAGGCTTCTTGTGACTTAGTACCACCGCCACGTGGGTTCCTATACCTTCGTACAACTGGCATGTCAGCCCTTGAATTGTGGGATAGGTCAGGTTCCGATGCAGATAGAAGTGCCGAGCAGCCACTACCGCTGGAAGGAAAGAGGCGCGGCCCTGGAGGATGGACGAGTTGAAGGAACGCTTCGACACACTGATCCCGTCGAACATGCGGCGAGACCATCTTATGAAGCCCTAAAGCCTAAACCCTCAACGGGATTCATGAGAGAGGTCCTCTTAGTCCGAATGATGCAGCTTCCAGAGATCGCTGCGTGCAGGGAGATGAAGAAGCTTGCATAACCTATAGTCTCCATTGGAGTTCCGTTTTGTGGTTTCTATGTTTAGCATAGTTTAAGGATCCTCAGGCAACCCCCACAACGGAACTCGAATGGGGACTACCCCAAAGGGTCCTATGTGGCAATTCTAGTAGAAGGTAAAGTTTGTATATTAGGAGTTTTTTTTAATGATTTAGGGAAGTCTCCGGAATAAACGGTACATAGGACCCTTCGGGAACAGGAACTTTTTTTGCCAGAGAGGTCCGAGCTGCAAAGCCGACCTCCCGGCCCAGGCACCAACCCAGCCCAGGCCAGAACACCCTAAACCCTAAAGCCCGAATAATCCTAAACCCTAAACCCTAAATAATCCCTAAACCCTACACCCTAAACCCTAAACCCTACAGACACCCTGCTAAATAAACCCTAAATAAACCCTAAAACCTAAACCCTAAATAGACCCTAAACCCTATAAACCCTACACCCTACACCCTAAACCCTAAACAAACCCTAAACCCTAAACCCAAGGCTTCTGAGTCTTCGAAGGCGACGACCCAAGCAACAAACCTTTAAGTTGAGGGTTTAGGGCAACCCAAACCCGGGTTTAGGGTGTTAGGGTTGGTCTGTGGTTCGTAACCTATTAGTCAGGCAGCCAGAGCCCTATTGTTGTAATCCCCACTTCGGGAACAA